AAAGTTGGGGTAGGACAAGGGGTCCCTGGGGAGCTGCCAGGGTCCTTTAGGAGCTCCCTGGCTTGGGGGGGTCCAGCCTGGGAGCGACTTATCTGTGCTGCGGGTGAGCCCAGGAGCGTCTATCCGTCCTGCTGTGTCCCTGTCCCCGTGTGTGGCTGTGAGGCAGAGGAGGAGCAGCCCCATCCATCCCCATGGCTGCTCCTGCCCTCCACAGCCCTGGCTCCCTCAGGTGCTCGGCGGCGATCTCTGGCTGGCACTGCCCTTGTGGTCAGCATTCCGGGCTGCTGTGACACCAAGCTGGCTCTGGAACGCAGCCCCCCCAGTGTTGTGCTCTTGTACATGGCTGTGCCAGCTGCAGGCTGCTTCCTGGAGCTGCTGGCTGCCCCTGGGAACGTGGCCGTGCCATAGCAGGGCTGGTGCTGCCTGGCATGGGGCTGCTGCCTTCCGCCGTCCGTGTAATAAAGCAATGAGTTGTTGTTCAGTTGGTGCCTGATGGTACTTAGGCTGTGTGAGCATGATGAATACATCCGTGAGATCCAGGCTTCTCTCTCTTCCTGTTTATGTCGTAAGGAGCAGAAGGGTTGCCTTTATGTGGAGGCTGAGGGTTATCAGCACACTGCTCTGCTCTGCGTTCCTTCATAACAAAATGGCAAAATGTGCTCAGGTTCTTTGCATGCTGAACACAGCAGTCCATAAGGCAGCTGAAGCCCAGCCTGTCTGCTGGGAGATCCCTGGAAATGAAGGGTTTGGATCTCTGCCTGGTGCTGGGGCTCAGCTTTGGCTGCAGTGGCACTTGGAACATTGAGATTTTGTTTCTTCTCTCTGCAGAGCGGCCGCAGGGCTGCACTGGGGGCCATCCCATACCGACGGCCGCAGCAGAGGCCAGCCCTGGTCCCAGCTGAGCTCTCAGAGGAGGAAGCCAGGAGGATCGCCAGGATCTTCTCTGCTCGGCTCTGCGAGAAGGAATAGTGCGGATCAGAGTGTGGCTGGAGCATCCCATAGCACAGCTGATTCTTGGCATGTCACAAACACCACGTCCTCAGGGAGAGGAGGTGGGAGCAGCAGGGCTCGGCCTCTGGCCCTTAATTGGCCTAATTGGGGCTTACTTGGAGGGAGCAGAAGCGTGGTGGCCCAGCAAGGGCTGCTGCAAGGGGAGATCCCAGGTGACACTCAGCCCCCCACTGGCCAACTCATTGACCGACTTGTTCCTCAGTTCTTCAACCACTGAGATTCATTCTTATGCAATTTCTCTCATGTTTATACAACAACTTTGGTAAAACATCCCATTTTGGGGCATCTCCTTGACCCAAAGAATGGAGAACATGAACGAATTGCCATCCTGGAGGACAGCAGAGAGCTGCTGCATCACTGCCCGTGTGTGGGGGTGGGAGAGGAGCTCCTTCACCTCCTCGTGGCCTTTCACTGTACATCCAGACCAAGGATGCTGTACAACGAGTGTACAAAAGGGTTTGCATAGAAGTACTGAATTTTTATATTATAAATTATATTGTAAATTATTTCTGTACATTTCTACGCCGGATCTCCATGCTGCAAACCACGCTAAGTTATGTCCGCGCTGCTGTAGGAGCGCTGTTTGTGTTTCAATAAAGTGATGCCCATTCCTGGCTTTGTGTGCCTGCACTTCCAACTGCATCCTAATGGGATTGAATACCTCCAAGCAGTGCAGGTGGAGCAGAGCAGGGTGAGGGGGTCCTGCTGGTAACCCCAAAGGTGGGGATGGAGCCGCCCTGGGGGTACTGTGGCTATGAGTTTTAAGAAAGCAGAAAAAGGGCTTTTGTTGAGTTCTCTCCCCACCCTGGAGCTGCTTCCCATCCCTGCAGCCTTTGTGCATCGCTGTCTGCCGAACAGGACGGTGGTTTTGTTGTCTGTACCCCATGGATGTGAACTCGGGGTTCCTGACGCTGCTCTGTGTGAGCACAGGGGACGCGTGGTGGTGGCTGAGGTGCAGGAAATCCCTGTGGTAAACAAACCCAGCCCTGGCAGCTGTGTGAGATTAATGACAGCCTCGTGCTGGGGACACAGGGTCTGTCCCAGGCTCCCAACCAGACCAGATCTTATTTTCCTGTGCTGCTCCCCCAAAGCTTTGGCGCAGGGACTGGAATGCTGTCACCCCTTGCAGCTGCCAGCAGCCCCACTCTCCAGCTCAAATGCCAACTGGGGGACGGGGCTGTGCTGTCACCCGATCCCCGCAGCCCCTGGAATGTCCTCTGGGTGCTATAAAAGTGGGGGCAGAGAGCTGGCGCTCGGGGCCACGTGGGTGGAAGGAGTGAGACGGGGACACGGAGCCGAGCGCTCAGGGTAAGGCTCTGTGGGACACCAGGAGTCAGCGGGCTGCACCAGGCTGCTCCGGGCCTCAGTTTCCCTAAGGATGCAGAGAAACAGAGCAGGATTTGATTCTGTGCTTGTCTGAAGCCAAGCAGAGCTGCGGCAGTGAACCGTCATCTCCATCCGTGAGCCAGGAGCCCCATAGGACGCGGCGTCCCACTGCCAACCTTTGCGTTCCCTCCCAGCCATCATGGTGGGCCTGAAGCCCCCCGAGGTGCCCCCCACGGCCGCTGTCAAGTTCTTCAGCGCCGGGACGGCCGCCTGCATCGCTGACCTCTGCACCTTCCCCCTGGACACCGCCAAAGTGAGGCTGCAGGTAAAGCCCCAGGAACCCCATGGGCAGATGGAGCTCCTGCAGAGCCGGGAGCAACCGCGGCGATGCCACCGAGCGGGGACAGCTGGGGCACAGAGGGCAGGGTGACGTGGTGGGCACCCCACAGATCCAAGGTGAGGTGAGGATCCCACACAGCACCAACACGGTGGAGTACCGGGGTGTGCTGGGCACGCTGAGCACCATGGTGAGGACCGAGGGACCCCGCAGCCTCTACAGCGGGCTGGTGGCCGGGCTGCAGCGGCAGATGAGCTTTGCCTCCATCCGCATCGGGCTCTATGACTCTGTGAAGCAGCTCTACACCCCAAAAGGGGCAGAGAGTGAGTGCAGTGGGGGCTGGGACCCCACCCCTGTTGCACATCCCAACGTGGTGTGCGACCGCCCCAATAGACACCAACCCACCCCAACAGGGGACCAACCACCTCAATGGGGGACCAACCCACCACAATGGAGGAACAAATCATCCCAGTAGCGATAACCCACCCTGGTGGGGGACCAACCCACCCCAATGGGCACCAACCTACCCCAATAGGGAACCAGCTCATCCCAGCAGGGATAACCCACTCCAATGAGGGACCAACCCACCCCAATGGGGAACCAACTCCCTCAATGGGGACCAACACATCCAAAGCATGCAGAACCCAGCCCGAGATGCACAACCCTCCCCAAAATACACCCCCAAACTCCGGAGTCACCCCCCTCCCTACTTATGGCACGGGATGGGGTCCCCAACATGTGCCTTCCCCAGGCACAGGGCTGCTGGCGCGGCTGCTGGCGGGCTGCACCACGGGGGCCGTGGCAGTGACGTGCGCCCAACCCACTGACGTGGTCAAGGTGAGGTTCCAGGCTCTTGGGGCACTGCCAGAGAGCAACCGTCGGTACAGCGGCACCGTGGATGCCTACAGGACCATCGCCAGGGAGGAGGGAGTGCGTGGGCTGTGGAGAGGTAGGGGATGGGATGGGATGGGATGGGATGGGATGGGATGGGATGGGATGGGATGGGATGGGATGGGATGGGATGGGATGGGAGGTGGGAATGGAATGGAAGAGGAGATAGTGATGAGGAAGGCAGATGGGATGGCATGAGGATAGGGATGAAACAGAAAAGAGGAATGGTATGGGATGGGAACAGGATTCATAGCATCAGAGGAGTTCGGGTGGGAAGAAATCTCAAAGCTCCCCCAAGCACCAACCCCTCCATGGGCAGGGACACCTCCCACAGCCCTGGTGTCCGTAGCTCCATCCATGGCTTTGGGCATTGCTAGAGTGGGGCACCCACAGCTCTGGGCATCAGTGCCAGGGCCCTCCTTAAAAGTGAAGAATTTCTATGAGAACTGTATGGATGTGGCACTGAGCAACACGGTCAGTGGGTAAGGTGGGGCTGGCTTAGGGATCTTGGAGGGCTCATCCAACCTTAATCATAGGATGATAGAATGGGCTGGATTGCAAAAGAGCACAAAGCTCATCCAGTTCCAACCCCCTGCTATGTGCAGGTCGCCAACCAGCAGACCAGGCTGCCCAGAGCCACATCCAGCCTGGCCTTGGATGCCTGCAGGGATGGGGCATCCACAGCCTCCTTGGGCTTTCTGGAAAAAGAGACCTCTTCTATTAATCATTATCACCTGGGAGAAACGTTCCAACCTGTTCCACTGACTCACCACCCTCTGGCTGAAAAACTTACTCCTCATATCCAACCTAAACCTCCCCTGTCTCACTTTAAAGCCATTCCCCCTTGTCCTATCACTATCCACCCTCATAAACAGCCGTTCCCCCTCCTGTTTATCTGCTCCCTTCTGAAAGGCTGCAAAAATGAGGTCTCCCCAGAGCCTTCTCCAAGCTAAACAATCCCAATTCCTTCAAAATGATTCTATGAACACCATTATTAACGATTCCATGAACCCCATCTCTCATCCCTGAATGGGGACAAGGGATGGGAACAAGGCTGAGGACAGGAACAGTGGCACTGGGGCACCCAGCAGGCTACGGGCCCCAACCCAACACCACCACCCTCCCTACAGGGACGCTGCCCAACATCGCCCGCAATGCCATCATTAACTGCGGTGAGCTCGTCACCTACGACCTCATCAAGGACACGCTGCTGCGGGCGCAGCTGATGACAGGTGAGGATGGGATCGAAGGCACAGCCCCACGTGCCATCCCAGTCCCCAAAACCTTCACCTCCGTTCTGCCCCACAGACAACGTCCCCTGTCACTTCGTGGCTGCTTTTGGGGCCGGATTCTGCGCCACGGTGGTGGCGTCACCGGTGGATGTGGTGAAGACGCGGTACATGAATGCCAGCCCTGGGCAGTACCGGAATGTGCCGAGCTGCCTGCTGGCCCTGCTGCTGCAGGATGGCATCGCTGGTCTCTACAAGGGGTGAGTGGTGGAATGCCACCAGCTGCGCTCTGCTCACCAACCCCGTGCTGCCAGGGATGGCTGACGTCCCCTCCAACGCTGCTGTTCTCACTGCAGGTTCGTCCCCTCCTTCCTGCGCCTCGGCTCCTGGAACGTGGTGATGTTCATCTCCTATGAGCAGCTGCAGCGTGTGGTGATGCTGGCCCGATCTGCACCCCCCTGATGGCCCCCAGCCCCAGTCATCAGCGCTGATGAGCCGCAGCAGTCAATTATATTAATTGCTGAAGCAGCAGGGAAGGGAGACAGCAAAGGTCCCCAACCCTATGGGATGAGAGGGACCAAAGGCGGCTCTGTGAGGGACCAGCAGGAGGAGAAATGGAGAGAAGGGAAGGATGGAGTTGTCCACAGCGGAGAGGGGAGAGGAAAGAAGGAGGTGTTGAGGTTTTCCAGTTGGGAACAGCAGCACTTCCTGGCAGCAGTGGGACAGAGGTGGGAAGGAGCAGTGTGGGATGGGGGATGTGGTGAATCTGGGTATTCCTCACTGATGCTGCAAATAAATCACCCCTATGGGGTTTATCTCAGCAGGACTTGGGGCTCCGTCACCTTATTTTTATTATAAGAGAGGGTGAAGTTTTTCTCCTGGTCCGGAGGTGCAGTTGGGTTACAATCCTCGTGGTCTTTTCCTCAATGATTCTGATCTTGCCAGAGGGGAGCAGCCCAAAACCAGGGAATGCTGCAGTGCACAAGGAAGGGAGGAGGGCAGCAAACATGAGGGAAGCAGAGCCAGGGAGGTGGGAGCAGCCCCAGCAGCGTTCTGTGGGCGGATTGGGTCCTGGCACTGGGGGAAATTCCCCATTTTTACCTCACTCACAGTGCTGGCAGCCTCACTGGGAGGAAAGCAGAAGGCTGACAGCTCCTAGGACAGCAGTGCATTCCTCAGGAGCAGCTTCTTGTCGGGCGTGAGGCGTTTGGGGAAGCAGACATTGAAGTGGATGAGGAGGTCACCCCTACGCCGTGGGTCCTTGAGCAGAGGCATCCCCTCCCCAGGCACCACTTTGCAGTACGTGGGGCTGCAAAGCGAGAGAGGGCTGAGAAGGGTGGTGAGATGCTCCTGTCCCCAGATGGGGGAGATGGGGCCCCACTGAGGTGCACAGAGCATCTCCTGCCAGCACGGCCCCACACAGTGCCCTGTGTGCACATGTGAGGTTTCTGAAGGCAGATTTGCTCCCACCCAACACCAGCCCACCCTGCCCTTTCCTCCTCTTGTCCTTACATTCCTTAACCTGGAGGCAACGCTGCACCATCCAGCTCTCTTTCACCTCCCCATTTTTGCCTCTCCAAGTACCCACAGGGTGAGCAGAGCACAGTGGGACTCTGCCTGCAGGTCGGGAACCCCCAGCCTGCTCCCAGAGCTCTTGGAGTAACCCAAGAACCCAAGCAGAGCAGCCAGCAGCCTGCAGGGGTTCCTCCCACAGCACTCATTCGCCTGCAGCTCTGCACCACCTCCCACCCTGAGCCCTCTGCTCACTGCACGATGTCATTGATGGGGATGCTCAGCAGCCGCCCGTCCAGCGTCCTCACATCCACCGTGCAGCCAATCAGTGCCTGCAGACACAGGGCAGGATCCCAAGCTGCAGCTGTGGCCACACAGGGACCCCTGTCCTTAACCATGTGAGTAGTGGGGCAGCCAAGAAGGACAACTCCACACAGCCAAAGAGGCTGAGGCCTCAAACCCAGCACTGTCCTCCCTTCTCTGCATGTTTTGCTGCTGCTGGCTGAAAGCAAATGGCAGCTGGACATCCTCTCCCTTTGCTCCTCACCTTTCCCAGGGGGATATTGGCCACGTAAATGAGGTTGTCGTTGGTTCTTTTAAACCTCGGGTGAGGTTTCTCTTGGATAACAAAGGTGATGTCGGCTGGAATGACGTTAGGGCCCTAAAAAGGGGCAAAAAAAGAGATCTGGGAATGGTTGGATACGCCGTTTTGTAGAGGGGAAGGTGACACCAATAGCTGCGCCTTTGTTGATGGCTTGTAAGAAAAGAGTATTTTCTTCATTTGGGGCAAAAAAGCCAACAATGTGTTTTATCATAGTCTTCTGTTAAGACAAAGGAAACCAGAGTGAGTTCTGCAAATGTGAGGGCAGACAGAAAAGCACCCCTTTCTGTTAATTTGACCCCAAGATAAAGGCAGAAGGGTCTCCTTTCTTTCTGATTCTGAGCACTCTGGAGCGCAGCCGTGCTGCACTCCAGAGGAATCTGTCACTTCCTTGGGTCAGTGCTAAGGGCACAGCACAGCCACGTGTCCACACAGGAGCAGTGGCAGAACAACAACCCTGAGCTCCCACTGCTGGGACATGGCAGAAACAGGAAACCTGCAAAGAGCACACAGCTGTGTGCCTGAGGAAATCCAGCCCAGAACTTCAGGCCACGCTGGTTACCTGGTCTCCTTCCTTCTCAAAAGTGACCCTGGTGCCTTGCTTCCACCCTGGCTGCACGTCAATGATCAGGATCTTGTCCTTAATGGTGCTCGTTTGGCCGTCTTCGTTCATCACCTGCAGGGTGGATGAGCTCGAGGGTAGAGCAGGGGAACCTCTGCTGTCAGAACAGCTCCAGACTGGGCTGGATGCACCCTGGGCAATGTGATCTGGTGTGGGGAAGAAGTCCTTACCCTGCCTGGCACAAGTTCCCTCACTGTCCTTACCCGGCGGGAGATCTTCATCTTCTTGGTGCAGCCAAAGAAGAGATCTTCAAGGGAGACGTGGAGGTCCCACACCATCGGGGGGTCCTGCTTCATCACGCCTCTTCCTTGCAGCCCTCCAAAGGGCAGGGTCACCTCCAAGGCATCCTTGGTGAAGAACTCTGCATGGGGCAGCATGGGGGACGCAGGGCTCCAAACCCCAGTCCAAGGGTGAAAGAGAGAACAAAACTTCCAGCAGAGAGGAGATGGAGATAACAGGGAAATATTTCACTCAGGGGGTTGTGAGACCCCAGAACTGCTGCCCAGAGCTGTGAGTGCCCAATCCCTGGAAGTGCCAGAGGCCACAGATGGGCCCTGAGCAGCCTGAGCTGGGGGCATCGAGCCCAAATCAAGGGGTGGGGCTGAGGGGGCTTTGAGATCTGTTAGGAAGAAGCCCTGAGACAGACCATGAAATTCAGGGTCTGGTGGTGAGCACAGCCCTAAAGGCTGCCCAAGGGATGGCAGCAGAGCATCCACCCACCTGCAAAGGGGTTGTGTCCTCCAAAGAACTCCTTGAAGACTTTGTCGGGGTTGTTGTGGAACACATAACCAGCAGTCCAAGCATCCTCACCACCAGACTCCACAGGGATGCCACCTTTGAGACCTTCCTCACCAAACCTATCGTAGATGCCTCTCCTTACGGCTAGGGGACAATAGGGATTGGAAACAGACATTTTATTGAGAGAAGGACGCCCTCAGAACAGCCCTGTGGAGTAGGACGTGGGGCTTCGGGTGGAGAAAAGCAGGACATGAGCCAGAAGGGTGCACTCGCAGCCCATAAGGCCATGAGGACTGCACCAACAGAGGAGGCAGTGGGCAGGAAGTGGATTGTTCCCCTCTGCCTGCCCTCCTCAGGCCCCATGTGGAGCACTGCATTCAGGCCTGGGGCTCCCAGCATTCAGAGGGATGTGGGGCTGTAGGTCCAGAGGAGGACAAGGGGATACTCAGAGGATGGAGCACCTCTCTATGGAGACAGGCTGAGAGAGCTGGAGGTGTTCAGCCTAGAAAAGGGAAGGCTGCGGGGAGACCTCACTGAGGCCGTACAGTGCCTAAAGAGAGCTGATAAATGGGAGGGAGAAGGACTTTTCACACAATCTAATAGTGATAGGACAAAAGGGAATGGCTTTAAAACTAAAAGACGGGCAATTTAGGTTAGATGTGAACAGGAAATGCTTTCCCAGAGGATAGTGAGACCCCAGCACTGCTGCAGAGCTGTGGGTGCCCATCCCTGGAGGTGACAAGGCTATCGATGAGCCTTGGGCAGCCTGAGCTGGATGGGGGGAGTGGGGAGGCTGATGGCACCCAGTCCACATCAGAGGGTGGGGATGGAAGGGTTTTAACATCCCCTCTAACTTCACCCATTCTGTGATCCTATGTTTTCTCCTGCTTTTCGTTATGGAGGAAAGCCCCCGCCCCAGGCTTTGCTTGGGCAGAGGTGGGGTAAACAGGGCTGCTCAAAGTGAGGATGGGTTGGATGTGAGCAGGGCTTTCCGCACTGTATGAATGTTTACAAGGGTAGATTGTGATAGGACAAGGGGGAATGGTTTTAAACTGAGACAGGGGAGGTTTAGGTTGGATATGAGAAGGAAGTTTTTGAGCCAGAGGGTGGTGAGGCAGTGGAACAGGTTGCCCAAGGAGGCTGTGGATGCCCCATCCCTGCAGGCATTCAAGGCCAGGCTGGATGTGGCTCTGGGCAGCCTGGTCTGCTGGTTGGCGACCAGCACACAGCAGGGGGTTGGAACTGGGTGAGCATTGTGCTCTTTTGCAACCCAGCCTTTCTATCACTCTATCCAGTTCAGCCCCCACGGCTTACGGTCACTCAGCACATCATAAGCTTCTGCCAGCAGCCGGAACCGCTCCCATGCCCACGGCTCCTTGCATTTCTGCGGGTGGTTCTCCAAGGCCAGCAGGCGGTACCTGCGGGGGGAGGAGCAGAGCGCGGCCTGCAGCCCCCGCCAGGCCCGGTGGTGGGATTGAGGCAACCGGCTGCCCCGAGCCCAGCCTCACGCTGGCCGTCCCTTCCCCCCACGCGTCCCCATCCCCGTCTCACGCCTTCTTAATGTCGGCGTCCGTGGCGGTGGGGCTCAGCTCCAGCACGGCGTAGTAATCCTGCCCCATGGCGGCTCTGTCGCTATGGATACGCAGTAAGGGCGGGGTCACCAAGGCAACGCGGCCAGGCCGCACTTCCGGCTAATGGCCGCACTTCCTTTTCCGGCGGCGCAGGGCACGACGGGAGCCGCGCTCTTCCGGCGCCGCCATTTCCCGCACCCGAGCCGACCCTCGCGCGCCTTTGTAAGATCAATGACGGCTTTTCCTCCACACGCGCTCTACGAATGCTGCTTTATTTCAGCCCACAGCCACGGTTTAAGCCCCAAACCCCACCCACCAACAGCAGTCACCCCCACGACGGATAAAAATCGGCTGTAATGGACAAACCTGAGTAGCTGACACACAGCAGAGGCAGTGGAAGCAGCCCTAGCTCACGGCCCACACGGCCACGTTGTGCACAGCCCCCAGCCCTACAGGTCGCCCAGTTGGTACCGCCGCACCACCCCGTCCCTGCAACACGTGTAGATCTGCTTCTCCCACGGAGCGACCTGGAAAAAAGGGAAAAAATGCAATAAAGCAACAGAGCAGGGTGGGAGTACAGCAGCTCTCATGGTATAGGGGTGGGGAAAAGCAGAAGGGAGCCAACAGCTCTGCCACTGCTCTGAGAAACACCCACACATCTAAAAGACACAGAATCACTAAGGTTGGAAAAGACCTATAAGATCATCCAGTCCAACCATCCACCTATCACCAATGGTTCTCGCTAAACCATATCCCTCAACACAACATCCAAACGTTCCTTGAACACCTCCAGGGAAGGGGATTCCACCACCTCCCTGGGCAGCCCATTCCAGCGCCTGACCACCCTTTCAGAGAAGTAGTATTTCCTAATATCCAGCCTGAATCTTCCCTGGTGCGGCTTGAAACCATTCCCTCTAGTCCTATCACCAGTTATACGGGAGAAGAGGCCGACCCCCAGCTCACTACAACCTCCCTTCAGGTAGTTATAGAGAGCAATAAGGTCTCCCCTGAGCCTCCTCTTCTCCAGACTGAACAATCCCAGCTCCCTCAGCCGCTCCTCATAAGGCCTGTGCTCCAGACCCCTCACCAGCTTTGTTGCCCTTCTTTGAACACGCTCCAGGGCCTCAATGTCTTTCTTGCACTGAGGGGCCCAGAACTGGACACAGCACTCAAGGTGCGGCCTCACCAGAGCTGAGTACAGGGGAACACTTACTTCTCTACTCCTGCTGGTCACACTACTTCTGATACAAGCCAGGATGCCATTGGCCTTCTTGGCCACCCAGGCACACTGCTGGCTCATGTTTAGCCAAGCGTCAACCAACATCCCCAGGTCCATTTCCTCTACACAGTCTTCTAGCCACTCCCCCCCAAGCCTGTAGCGTTGCCTGGGGTTGCTGTGGCCAAAGTGTAGGACCCGGCATTTGGTCTTATTAAAC